AGTCTTCCCTTTAATAAAGCTTTTAATTAATTGTTCTCTTTTTTTTATACCTTCTTAATATTTTGCATTAAATATTTAAATGTCTCGATAACTGAGCTCAAATAAAAAATTTGTTTGAAAAATTACCTTAAAATTGAGCAAAGATTAATTTTATTTTTCTTTTAAATAAGGATTAATTCGCCCCCCGGACATTGGGTTTTATTACGATGCTCGTATAAGCTTCATCGCTGGCGAGAGACCAGTTAGCTTTACCGTAATTTTTTGGTCTGCATAGTGAAGGCCTCGATAGCACGACAACGGAGCGTTGCAGCGATATTTTGTGATAAACGCGATAACTCTGTTTACCCAGAAAAACTGGCAAGATGCTCACGTGCAATCGCGAGCATCGGTTGGCAGGGTTGCCGCTATCGTAAAAAACCAGCGATAAAATGGTTATCATGTAAAGTAAAGTAATACGTTTAAGTAAAAGACGTTCTCGTTCGTTCGCGTTAGCACTTCCAATGATCCAAATGAGGATTATTTCGAAACTCTCCATTAACACTAAGCTGGGTAAAACTAAGGAAACCGAACGTGAAGTTAAACCGTAATTAAGGCGTCCACATGTAATTAGGATAATTCCCATGATGGCAGTTACTTTTTCGAGATGTTTTAAAACGTACTCGGGTATCATGTTGTCCCAGTTTTTCGTATTTCGACATTATTTTGCTTTATAAGATTGTAAGAAGTAAATGTTTTGTTTCATTTTTAGAAATTGCAAAAAACGTGATTATCTTTTAATTGTAACGAACTAAGACTATATACGAAAGAGATTAAAGATTTATATTTTTTAAATCTAAAAGATATCGTCTGTAAAGTAGGAAATGATTGCACAAATTGGGAAAGATTTGAGAACGGATTTCTGATTAATATCGAATCTAAATAAATAAGAAAAATTAGACGTCAAACTTGTAGACTACGTTTTAGGATTTATATAAACTAGAAACTACAAACACCCGACGTGTCTCGCGATAGCATACGTGTTGCGGAACTATAGTCAACAAGTAAATATTTGCGTAGTAAAACACACGCGCCGAGTCTTTACATCTTTACGCTTTGATAAACTTATTGCGCCACGCTATGTAAAGTATTATAAAAAAAAATAGTTTTTTCTCGTATATTTTATTCCAGTCGAGGTAAAATCCACATAAATGATTAAGGATTAATAAATTGCGTTCAAACATCTGTAAAACTCTGGAAATTTGATGTTAATTGCGCTGCAATACATTCAACATTATCAAACGATATTACCGAAGTAAAACCCGTAGAGACCTGCGACCCGTAGAGACTATAAAACGGACTTTGACAAGGCAACGCTTGATATTCTCGATCGTAGAAATGAATATATTATGGGCACGTGTTTAATTCACTCAATAGACCGTTCTATTGGCGTACTTATACCTAATTTACCTATTGTTTATTCGCTTATACTATCTATATCGCAGTGTAATATGGATACGGTGCTATAAATTAAAAACAGAAAAAGAAAAAACCATATCATGAACCAGCCACGTATCGATTGGTTGGTTCATAATATTGCGCAATCCGAGGGAATTTGTTTAGCACAAAATATTTAGATGGTACGAAAAATATTGAAAAAAAAATCGTAATTTTCGACACGTGTCGCCAGTTCGTTACATCTTAATGTCGTGTATTTCTGGCATTCTAAATTAATTCTTCCTGCCGAACGACTCGTCTGATAACAGATGTTCAAGCAAGTGTGAGAGAATTCGATGGTTCGGAAAACTGGTACATTTACTTCTTCACTGCCTGTTTCATTACGGAAGACAACCCGCGCTACGCCGCCGTAATTTTTCAGGCGGTGATTACGTTGATTAATCACGTGGGTTGGACATCTTTATGAGTCACGTCACGCATACGTGTAAACACCTTTCCTTGTGCTCGTCAAATGGATTTAAATTTACCAAATCGTGCTGTAATCGAGCGGATTGGCATCGTGGCAGGAACGAGCCAAGTCTCAAAATCATAAATATCGTCTGAATTAATCCGAAAATTGCGTGATCTCAGTGCAGAAGGTTTTTCAAACGAGAGCAGAGACACGAATAGCTAAGCTACAGATAAACTCCGAAAATCCGTCCATAAAAATTTCAAGGCACTCTTGATCTCGACTCGTTCATTTGAGATTCATTTTGGATACGTTTTAGTCTATTTATTGGTCCGATTCTTTTATGATACGGTTAATTCTTTACAAGATCGAGCTTGTGATGCAAGATCGAGTCGATGCTCGGGTTCTCTGCTCGATGTCGAAACTATGATCGTCCCGATTACTCGCTCCAGAGTTCTCCATCAAGGGAAGAATCAGCACGCGCGACACATCGCGCTGGAAACATCACGTCACGAATGCGCGTTTTGGCGAACGCGCAACCGTACGTGAATCACCGAGCAAGCCAATCGCACGGCGAGAGATCAAGGTGAGTCATCGCTACGTTCGGTTTCGCGCCAGCGAACCAGAGACTTCGTTCCCTCGGTAGACCGTAGAGACACTCGGACTGCCGTTTCCAGCCAAGTATTATAAATTAACACCACGAGAGAGACCCTTCACCCTGCCTTTCGAGTTGCAACGAGCGACAAACGACGATGCACCAAAATATCGCGCGTCACTTCGAAAAGTTATAAAAGGCGATGACCTTTTCGTTATAAAAGAATCGAAATTTCACGGGAAGGGATCTCCGTCTACATACATCCACTTTCGTTTTTAGAATATTTTACAAAATCAAAAAACTTACCGCTACAATGATGTATGCATGCGCAAGATTCTCATAATATGCGTTCAACGCTCACGCTTTCCGACCCTTGCAAACCGATAACACGATAACGATTTACACGACGCGGCGACGTGTTTACGCTTTAACGAAGTCCGTTTAACTCCGATGGCAGATACCGCTAATTAAATCTTCAGTCCAAAGGAAAGCGTCCGAGTCGGAAAGGCCGGCGCGACGATATCATCGCCGAAAGAAATGCGCATAAAGTGCGAAACGTCGTTGATTTTCGAGAGCTAATCGACTTATCCTTATTATATCGACTTATTCTCGTTAATGATGATATGATTGGGAAGGTGATGATTTTGTGTGAAGAAATAAATGCGGAAAAAAAGAAGCAAGAGTCCTTTTGTACGAGAGTCCGTTTTCAAAAAAATCAATTTTGGCGATTGGCTTGATAATCTCATTATTTTTAAGCTCGGATGATTTTTAACTTCCTGAAGGTGTTTTGTCGATTTTTCGAAAGATCACGCAACTATTTGCGATCGAAATACGAAGGAGCTCGCGATCTTACCAAAATCGCATTTTAAATTCGACGAAAGCAGAGTGTGAAATCTACAATTACTCGCGCGATTCCATTTCGTCGTGACGAGTGGAAGAGTCCAACGTGCAAACTTTAATATATATAAAATAGTGTGTCACGAAGGAAACCTTATGCATAAATTTGCCGGTAAAAAGCCCGCACCGGGGAGCTCGGCGAAGTGGCTCGCGATATCCCGGTGGAATGGAACTGGGAGGAAGGAACTGGAGGATCGCTGTTCCATCATCGATTCAACAGTACTTAATTGTAACACGACGTCTTCTTACGTTATACGAGCGGTTCGCGTGCTCGGCGAATTAAACCTGATAAATGTGACTCCGTCGTACTTGATATCGCCTTTGTTATCGTCGAGTATTATTGTACACTTAACGCTACCCAATGAAGAATAAGAATACGAGACTACGAAAATAATATTGTCGTTAGCAGTAGATGGGCCGAAGTTCAACTAGTTGGCAATCTTTCAAAACTTCTTTCACCACGTACATCACATTGGTTTTAATTTAAATATTAACGTCCGTCAAATATAAGATACAAGTAAATAAACATATCCGAAGTAAATAAATAAACGGAAAATATCGTTGTATCAGGATGTTGAAATGTGAATTGTACGTATAAACTCCGAAACTGCGGAAGAAGACTCCCATGCAAATGTCTGAAAAAAAAACCTTTTTCCGCCAAAAACAAACGGCTGCTTGTAAATTAAGTTCCGCAAATAGATAACAAGTTCCTATTTTTCGCTTGGCCGCAAGCGGACTTTGCTTCACAGTGCGATTTTGAGATCACGGAAATAAACAATGCCGAAGGACTGGAAAGGCTCCGTTAACGCTTCGTTCGAGCTCCCAATCGCGATCCTTAATCGCGCCAAGGTGACTCGATGTCGAAACGCGAAAACGACCGACGGGCTAAGAGCTGGACGTGACGGGACGAAGAGTAACGGATCCGGGATCGAATTTGTCGGTTGGAGGAAAGACTCGACTTCCGTCCAAGAGAGAGAGAGAGAAGAGAGTTCAACGGTGACGCCGCGTGGACGCGTTGTTTTTTGGCGGCCTGTAGGTGCACGCGTCACCTCGACTCATCGGCCGACGATGACGAGGACGTTCTCGAGGCGACGCGACGCGTCGAATAATCCACGGAGACGGTCGCGCGACGCGCACAGCGACCGACGGGGACTCTCGCCGCGGTTACTTTCTCCTCGCGGGGAAAAGGCGAGCCCGGCGCGCGGATAATCGCGCGAGGGAGACGGAGCGATCGCACGTCGCACGCTCGCTCGCTGGCTCGCTCGCGAACGCAGGTTAAGGGCCAAAGCACATAACATGGCGTAGCGATATACGACGGTCGTAGTCCTCGACCTGACAAATCAAGATACGCCAAAGCTTGTGCGTTACTTACGTCCACGACTACGACTGTCATATGTGCTTTGGCCCTAACTCAGGTTGGAGGTTAACCTCACGCCGGAGGAGCGGAGCAGGTACACGAGACCGCGGACAGGTCGGGCAGCGCGCGGCATGAAAACGAGGAGAAGGGAAGTAAAAAAAAAAACAGGGGGGGGGGGAAGAAACACGGAGCCTTTTATTTAATTCGCGTGGACGGTAAACGCGAAAGAGAACGCGAGGAGAGAGAAAGAGAGACACAGAAGGACTTACCCCATAAACCAGTCCACGGTATCGCGGAGATACTCGGGTAACCTATCCAGCTTGGATGATTTTCGTGTGGATCACCGTCGTGAGGAAAGCAGCGCGCGCGATAGACGGGAAAACAAAGTGTAAATCTCCTCTCCTTCCCTTTCTCTCACTCTTTCCCCACAGTACCAGCACCACGGTAGTAGTCAGGCGGTAGGAGGCAGCTAGCGGCAGCGGCGGCAGCAGCAGCAGCAGCGGCAGCGGCAGCAGCAGCATCGGCGGCAGCGGCGGCGGCGGCGCGCGTTTCGCGATCTCGTGAAATCTAACATGGCGCGGCTCTATTGTCACCTGTTCCCGTCATGCCCCGCTGGCCGCCGAGGCCGAGGCACATCCCGCCGCGCCGATCCCGCGGCCGCGTCGTCCGCGTCGTGATCGGCTCGCTCGCGCTTCTCCGACACGACCGGCCCTCGAATCACTCGAATGCCCTCGCTGTGCTCGCTCTGCTAGCTGGGGGCTGCTGGGTGCTGGAGTCGCGGAGTCGCGCGCGCGACGCGAACACGCACGAGATTGACGAGAATCGTCTAATCGTATCCCCACGACCACGACGGCACAAGTACAGTGTACACTCGCGGATCGGCACTCGGCACTCGGTCCACTCGGAGCTCTCGGAGCAGTCGGAGCGCGTCACCCGCACCCCTCCGCTACGCGCGAGATAATCTAATCCCGCGACCCGCGACGCGCACAGCTGATCGCCTGGACGTGGACGCGCGCGCGCCTCCGCCGTTCGTTCGCGCAAGCGCGCATCCATGCGCGCCGCCGCGCAACGTTTGCGCTTCGCCGGCCAGCCGTAGATCGCGGCACCTGTCAAGCGCGTACACGTGATGCCTCGCTCAACCGCCGTGAACGAACGAAATAGAGAGGGAGAAACTCGTTGGAACGAGTTGACGAACCCCACACACACTTTCCAAACGTAACAGGAAGGTTTGACCAATCGCGTTGCTCGACTCGGCCGTCCATAACCGAATCGAGCAACGCGATTGGTCAAACCTTCCTGTTACGTCTTACGTTACCCTTGACGACGCAATATTCAATTTATTATTTATTATTTATACTGTCGTACGTATTCTAATTAATTTTCACGTTGTAGAATTAACGCACATTCATCTTCATTTTTAGATAAAAAATACCTTGTAATTTTAGATGCCGGAAATGCCCTAGAACGTAAATAAACTCACAAGTCACGTCCGCCGCAGAACTGCCATCTCGTGCCATCTCGTGCAACCTAAGCGACACAGGAGTGCGCGTCACGTTTCGTTTCTCTTTCCGGTATTGCTCGTTGGGAAGGTTAGTCGCGTCCTCGTTCCTCGTCGTTCTCCACCCGACAAAATGACGTGAGTATATAATCCTATCGAATAATAGCGATCGTAGGCGTCAAGTTCGCCGTCTTATTACGAACAAACGCGTCGAACCGCATTTATCGATAAATGCATATTATTTTTGAGTTATTTCTTAATACGACTATTAATATGACCGCTAACGTGCGTCGCGTTGAAATCTTAAAAGCTGTACCTGCTTTGCACAGATTTGCCTTATTCTGATGTGTATTAAACACAGCACAAGCTTTTCTCATCGCTTTTTATACGCGAAATAAGAAACGCCGTCGGTTATCGGGTACTTACCGTTTTTATAAAAATTTTTTTCGACTTGCAAAGACAACTCTGCACGTGCAGCACGTGTATTTTATTTCGCTTTGATTGCAGATCGAAGGTCTCCCGTGACACTCTTTACGAGTGCGTGAATGCCGTGCTCCAAAACTCGCAAGATAAGAAAAGGAAGTTCTTGGAAACCATAGAGTTGCAGATCGGTTTGAAGAACTATGATCCGCAGAAGGACAAGCGTTTCTCGGGCACTGTCAAGTATGTTTCTACCTGACTGAGGCATTTTTTCTTGTCTTTTGATACGATATATCCTTCACTAAGAAGAATATGAAAATTGCCTCGTGTTACGTCAGGGAGCTAGATTTTATCTAGCGGACCTGCACCCAGGGTCTTAAATTAATTGGGGAGGTATTTATACCGTTTATTTAAATACAGGATCATGATCCTGTTGGTAAGTTATTCTTGGAACATCGCACTTATTAGGGCCAATTTCACCAACCATGGTTAGCTTAACCGACGGTTAAGCTAACCGTGGTTGGTAAAATTGGCCCTTAAAGGAAGAGGTGGAACAGAGAATAGTCCTAAGAAATTCTTAGGAAATATTATACGTTTTCGTTTTGGCAATCAATAAATGCATATAACAGGCTGCAATATGTGATATACATCAATACAGCTAAAGTTCATGGAGTCACCAGAATTCTATGATGTCTTTTTTATTGCATGTATTATCTGAACAATTCATGTGGTAAAATATTAAAATCTGAGAATATTAGGACTCTAGATATTGTTATTTCTTTCTTATAATTGTATGGATGATATAAACTTTTATTCTAACAATATAGTTTCGTTATGAGAATAAATACTGCAGAGACCATGTGTAATCATGTTAAAATCGCAGAGACGCGAACGTATTTACTTGAACTTCGATCACTATTGATTTTCATTATGTTAGGTTGAAGAATATTCCCAGACCAAAAATGCAAGTATGTGTTCTTGGCGACCAGCAGCACTGCGACGAAGCTAAAGCTAATAATATTCCGTACATGGATGCGGAAGCGCTGAAGAAACTTAACAAGAATAAAAAGCTCGTCAAGAAACTCGGTATGTTAATAATGCGTTTTCGCTGTTTCGAACAATTGAGTTACCTTCCCAAAAGCACCATCATTGCTTAACTTTCGAACAATGGTGGTCGTCAAGAGGAAGGAGATTAAAGGTTCTTCACTAGGTGAGGGCAATGTGAATCGTATCATTGCGCCTCAATCCGTGTCGATACACGTATCTTATTCAAAAAGATCTGTTTCAAAAACCTTTGTTTGTCTTTTTTTATAAGTATTTTTTAAATCTAGAAACTTTTCTCAAAATTATTGACAGAGGAGCTAATGTGTTTTAAATTTATGCAATCTGTTGAGGGTTAAACGTGAATAACATTTGTCCACGTATTTGTATTCTTTTCGCAGCAAAAAAATACGATGCGTTCTTGGCTAGCGAGTCATTGATCAAGCAAATTCCCCGTCTTCTCGGTCCTGGTTTAAATAAGGCCGGTAAATTCCCTGGGCTGTTGTCTCACCAGGAATCGATGGTTGGCAAAATCGATGAAGTTAAGGCCACCATTAAATTCCAGATGAAAAAGGTGCGTTGCCCGCAATATTTTCTATTTAAAATTTTTCTTTAATATACAACTTCGTACTTTATATGATTGCTTTTGTTCTACAGGTGTTGTGTCTGTCGGTAGCCGTCGGACACGTTGATATGACACCCGATGAGATGGTGCAAAATGTCCACCTCTCGATAAACTTCCTTGTTTCCTTGTTGAAGAAACACTGGCAGAATGTACGTTCGCTTCACATTAAGTCTACCATGGGACCACCACAGAGGCTGTACTAAGTTGCACTTGGTACGATACATTTCGAATGTATATTCGTTGTAATAAAACTGACAAAAGAATCAATAAATTTGCTCTTCTTTCTCACTTGCGACAAATAAATGCGTTCCGATGTTTTAAGTTCAATGACACTTTAGAATTGATTCAAATTCTTAGAACTATGATAAGACTAGACTTTTGTATAATCCTGCGGTGTTATAAGTATTTGATAACGTTTAAAGCAATATGAATTTGTTGGTTTGAGAAACTTATCGATAAAGACAAAAAGATAAAGCCTAATCTCGCTATGTCGCAGACAGAATCTGCTCGGAACATATGCTGTTATTACTATAAAATATTTACGAAGTAATTATTGATATATAATATATTGGGTTTTTTCAATAGTTAAGTGTGAAATCTCAATTTAATAATCATAATTCATAATAAAATAGAAAGAGATTAGAAAAATCTATAACAATATCGCACATATGTCTAGTTGGCGATAACGTATCTCATGATTGCTCCGATATATTTTAGATGAGTAATTCGAGGTATTCGCATTCTTTTTCTGTATTCGAATTCTTTTTGGCTTTATCATTTATCCAGTAGCTACCTGCTAAGGTAGAACTGCGTCGAAAAGGTATGTGGTAGGTAAGGGACCTATACGTGTCGCGCGATAAAGGACGTAGCCGGACCCTGGATCCGGTTCACGGATGCTTCTTTGGGGACCGCGTTTACGTGTAGATGTGTACATGTGTGTGCGTGCGTGGGTCCTACCACCGAGGTCTACTAAGCTTGAACAGGCACGCACCACAGCCACGCTATTTCCAACGATCTTTGTGGGGGCAGTCCGGTGGCGGTCGCTGCGCTTTGAAGAGGCACATGGTTTCGAGTTCCGCTTCGTAAGCAGATGTCTGCGGAGCCGAGGACCCGCGTTTAGTCTTTTCGCCTCCCTCTTTTTCGCACTTTTACGCCCGTGATCCTTGCAAAATTCTCTTGACTGGCTCCGCGCATTCTCCGATTCGTTTCCTCGCAGGATTCCTGGACGAGCATCGATGGAGTAAAGTATTCGGGTGAGTTTGAATGTGCTTGGAACTTGTTTTCGAGAGACAGAGATAATGATGGATCGTCCGAGACCCCGATACGAAATTGCTCCGAACCTTGTACTGCGAACACTTTCAGCTTATATTTATATGCTTAAATAAAATAATTTAATACAGAGTACGGATGGAGGGAGTGTATATAATATATATTTTATAATGTACATATAATTAATAAATTCTTGATATATATTTAAATTTAGAACAAAGAAAGACAAAGACTATGTCGTTGACTGTCAAGATTCGGTACAATTTATAATTTAAGTGGTTGAAGATAAAGGCAGATTTTTGTTGTCTTGCTAAATAAATGACGAATCTTTTATTTTCATTTAATCTTAATGTATGAGTGTACAATTCTAATTATTCTAATTTTAAGACAACATTTCGAAACGTGTCTTGAAAATAACAATGCTAAGAAAATAAAGAAAAAATAAAAACAGAAGAAGAGATAAATGTAATTGATAAATAATAGACGATAATGCCATTCGTACGATTTACTGATATGGAGACCTGATTTATTTCTGATAAAATTGTCAGCTTCCGTGACACGCGATAAGCACGTATATAACTTCGAGATGTATTTAGTTATATTTCTCAAACTATTGTATTGTGCAATTAAAGCGCAAAAAATCGCTGATAATCCGTTTGCAGTATTAAATTACAAAAGTCGGAGTTTTTAGTAAGGACGGTCATCGATTAAATTGCAGAAATGGCACGTTGATCGTTACGAAATGAAAAAAAAAACGTGTTTTGATCGTCAACCGATTGTCTCACATCAAAAAGGTGAATAAAAATAATGACCGAATAGTAATAATTAAAATAATAGAGAAATTAGAGAAAAATTCGAATTTCTAAAATCACAAAAAATTAACGAAATAAATGCAAAAGTTGCATCTTTTAGAAGAAGCTAACAATTTGCGTGGACGCTTTAAAAATTTCAATTGATTTTCTCGATTGCGAAAAGATCGATTGGACGATGCGGAACGACGGCTCTCCCGTTTCTCGAATTGAAAAAGACAACCACGAAGACGTGAATGGACATTAGAGGTTTCACGAATTCAGTTAGCAATATATCGGAACGCGGATTTATCGGTGCGGGATGGAAAAATCAGTAATCGCCCAAGCCGGCGGCCTTCCCATTCTTTCCCCGCGGACGGAGAGAACATGAAAAAAATTGTGCGTGTCCATGCCGTATAGGGATGGGGGATTGGAACGGCCGGCGGCGCTTGTATTTGATTAATAAAGTGGCCGCAAAAGAGTGCACTCTCCTCGGACGAGTGGACTCTAGCCCGTTATCAGTGATATCAACTAGCAGAGCGGCGACAAGCGGCCAACCGGGCGGAAGGCTGTCAACGAGCGCGGTCGAGTTGGGCAATATGATTATCGAAAGCACAGCCGACAACGACGGCGAATGATTCGAGTTACTGACATTCTCCACAGTCACCGACAGACCTGCGAGCCGATACAATATCGCGCGCGGTGTTATCGGATAAATTATCGCGATCGGCAGCGATTGAGTGTTTGTGCCTCCGTAATCCTCGGTGAAAATCTCGGTGGTTGATAAAAAAAAAACAAAGAGCATGTGATGCAATTCGCCAAGTTTTCCCGCGGGGATTTCCGCTCAGAATTAACGGTGCATCGATTGAATGTCGACGGTATCAATATCGATGTACAGTGTATAATATATGTATATTGATAATGCAACGCGCAACTAATGGCCTTAGAGCATATAAGCGTCGGAGCGAGTCGTGGTTTTGCAGTTTTCAATGTCACATATTTTTATCAATTTTAAATTTAAACTTGACGGAAATAAATTTCCGTTTGCCAAAGTGAGAGAGAGAGTGTGTGTGTGCGTGTGGAAATACGCGGAGGGTCTAAAAAGTCGGGTTTCGGGAGGAAAAAACTGGACGCATGGACGCATCCTCGAACGATGACGCATATGCGGTCCTTCGGACGGGCGTGAAAGGAAATAGATATGACCGTTGCAAATCACCGTTGCTTTCCAAATCATATCCGTTCTGTGTTAAAACTAGGATGCGTTTCATTCTAACAGAAATCTTTTGACTCTTGCCTCTTGCGTCAGCGACGGATACTTGAAAGATATCGCGTCGTGACGCGCCTGCAAAAGAAAATTGTGCTTGAAGTCACGCTTGAAATAGAAATAATTTTTATTCGATACTTATATAATTAATACAACGTAAAATAGGTCCCCTCGCAGTTTCCACAACTTCCGCAAACAACGCGAATGTAACGAACGTAATGAATTTTGATTGCCGATTCAGCGGGATTTCGCTCCTGATTTCTGCTTTTCTCGCGTTAAGACGCACGCGTTAAGTTATTTCGCGACAGTTGGGACGGTGCGAACAGTTCCGCTTTGTTTGCAGCGTTCGTTAGAACATGATCCTTGAAAAACGCCCGATATTCCTCGTTCTCGCTCTCCACTTCCTCCGCGCGCTCTGCAACGATGACGCATTTGCGTCGAAAGGGACAACGATCGCCGGGGACGCCGCCGGGTCGGCGAGATTGGATTACGATGGGGACGCGATGGAGAATCCGGGGAAGATCTACGAGGGCATTTCTAGATCTACGGAGAATAGCTTCGCGAGCCACGATGCGATCACGACTCTCTACGGATCCACCGTGGAACCCCTGACGACTGATTTCCAGCCGGTCACCGATGACGATAAATCCTCATCATCCACGACTGTCGAGCAGACTACGAGGTCCACTACTGTGCCCGACGATGTGATTACCGTCGATAGTCTGATCAATATGACGATCTGCGAGCCGACGTGGCCGATAAACGCAAGCGGTAATTAAAATGGAAAAAAAAAAAAAATCCTACTGATATAAGAATCAATTATTTAAGTTAAGAGATTAGAAGGTGTCTTTTAAAAACGAGTATTTGATAGAGAAAATGCCGATGAATCTAAACGTTACAATAATGCGGAAACAGAAATTACAAGTATTACAAGATAGAATATAGAAAAAGTGTAAATTTTGATCGCATACTTATGTCGCGATAAGCGAGACATGAAACCACTAAGCGGTAAATTTACTAAGCCAAAAGATTCAGGAAAATATAATATTTTTTCTCTTTTTTTTTGTACAATTTAATAATTATGGTTGAATTTTTCGCAAGATTATTAGCGATTATCTCATTACGATACGTCCTGGGACATTCTGCGCACTCATATTTTGCAATTTTGTTCTTCAGCGGATACAAAGGAAGTGTTTAACTTGACGGGCGAGATAGGCACAGAATGGATCTCTCTCTTGTGGGAATCTCCGTGTGACGTGACGAACGTCTCGGTGATATACTCCATCGAGAGATGCGACGAAAAAAATTGCACCCAGACAAATGAGACTAATACCTGGCATAACGCTACCAATCTCGATCCATGCACGCAGTATGCGTTCAAGGTGAAAATTCTTACCGAATTCTGGGTGTCGGACGGAGTCGATCTGTCAGCCACGACGGATCACGCCAGTGAGTGTGCACGTAGCCGGTTGAGCGTAATATATGTCCTACCTCTATTGAAATACGAGATTAATTAACGAACATCTTTACCGCGCTGATTCTCCTCAGTTCCGGAAATCGGGGACGTGGTCTCCCTGAGCGTGGGCAATGTCAGCGTCAACGACATCGAATTGACTTGGCAGGCGCCCGAGATGTACGCGAAATGCATATCCAACTATTGGATTGCCCAGTGCGACGAGAAATCCTGCAATGAGACCACAGTTTCCGTCACGAATTACATCGCCAACGATCTCGAGCCGTGCACAAAGTATCGTTTCACCGTTAAAACGGTGACGCCGTCCGTGGAGTCCGTCGGCGTAGATCAAACCGCGGAGACAGCCTCGCCGAGTAAGTTCGAGCCGTCCTCTGGAATTGGTGGAAAAACGTAGAGACACCGTAGAATGCCTGAGAAATTTGCGATCAATTTGTTCCCGTGAAATTGAAAGATTATCCCATCAAGCTTCACCGCTCGACGCAAACGAGTCCGGAATTAAAGTTCTGTCGAAGCGTGCTCCGTCTCTATGCCCACTTTCCGCCAATTCCGGAACAATCGGTTTCGATCCTCGGCAAATCCGTCTCTGACACACGGACAATTTGCAGTATTGTCGGCGCCGCAGTCCTTCCACGTAATACCCGGCAATTTTTCGCTGTTCGTTAAATGGGAGCCGCCGGAGTCTGGCACGGCCTGCCTCAAGCATTATCGTGTAACCACGATTTCAGAGACAGACGATTTCAAGTATACCGACAATACCACGAATACGAATGTGACAATTTCGCATTTGCACGCTTGCGAGAAGTATAACGTGTTCATCAGCGCTGTGAATAAAGACGATAAAGAGGAAAACATGATAGATAAGAGCGGTTCCCCGCATCCATACAGTAAGCAAAATTAATTTAGACTTCTTGTTTTTTTTTCCTCATATCACACACGGTATACAATCCGATGTTAATTCGTCAACGTTCCGGTTTGAAGATGAATTTAATGAAAATAATTTTCTCCAATATTTCAGAAACAGATCCACCAGTTTCGCATGCTACTACAGGAGTAGTACCAAGTATCAGAAGCCTGTTGATATTCTGGACCATTAAAAAAGAGAAAAATCATTGCCAGCTGTTGTCTATAATAACTATGTGCAATGTTACAGAAAAAAAGGGGAAAGGTTATGACCCTGAGAATCGCGTGTTCAAGATGGATATAGATCACAATACTGCTGCAGATCCTTTTGTCGTACTAAATATAACCGTAAAGGAGCTAAGTCCTTTCACAAGTTACACTTGCTGGGCGCATGTGATTAATAATGGAGGATTCAGCGACTTAAGTGACGGAGTCAATGCCACAACGTTGGAGGACGGTAAGCGCACATGCACTATCTCATTAGTTTAAGATTAATTTAATTCAATTAACTTCATTTATTAGTGAATGAATCTTGCAACTACACATCTGATTAACATTCCAAGAAATATGTATCAGATTAATCTTGTAAAAAATAAGTAAATTTGTGAAAAAATAATTTGACGAAGACATTTTATGATGTTGAAAACATTGGTATTAACTTCTCGTTCATTCTTATTTCTATAATATAATTTTATAAACAATTAGACAAATGATCTTTTAATCTTTTCTATGAAATCAACTTTATAGGGTGAAGTAAAATGATCAACTACTAAATTAGATTAACAATCTTAGCCATAATTATTAATAGGGACTAAGTTCTTTTATGAATTATACTTGCTGGACGCATCATTAACCCTTAAATGACCAGTGGGGTCCAGCGGACCCCAGACCCTTTAGAATGAAATGTTTTCAAATGTTTTTGCCAAAAATGGAGCTCATGCTCCCATTGATGATAGTTGAGTGATTGACCTACCCGTGTGTACACTTAGCAGTACTCAGTTTACTTAATTTTTTATATTATGTCGAAATTGAAATTTGAACAATATTAGCATTTTATACTCTTCTCTAGATCTTGCACAACATTAAAAAAAATTGTCATAACTAAAGATAAAAAAATCAATGAGTAAGGAAACATTTTTCATGCTGGAGTCTTTTAGACCCCTCAGTGAACTTACGAGATTCTTGAGAGGTATGGCATTTAAGGGTTAATATTGCATAATATATTTAATAATTAATTAACTTAATGTTTATTAATTTAGATAATATTTCGTGTTACAATTTTAGTGCCGTCTCCACCTGAGTTTTCCATCAAAAACATCACAGACTCACAATTCTCTTTATCTTGGAAAGAACCGGATTACTTGCCCGGTCATTTAGAAGAATTTGAAATCGTTATCGATTGGAAATCAGAGTATCCGCCTCCAAATTGGTGCCCTCGCGAAGAAGATACAGATTATCCTAAAAAACTTAATGTAAACGGCAGCGTGTTTGAGTATGATTTTGAAGCAAAGGCATTCACGAGTTACAAAATATTTATGAGAGCGAAAACAGGGCAAGGGTGGAGCAACAGCAGTGATCCTAAAACATGTTTAAGTAATAGCGCAGGTATATTTTATTTTTTATATCTCTTGATTTCATTATAATGTAAGATTATTCGTAATCCTTAAAATACTAAGTCGTGTTTCTGTGTGTACTATTAATATTTTGTCAAGAATAAAATTTTGATACAAATAACTCGAACTACATAAACATTCGTTGATAAACGATTAGCTTTATTATTAATAAAATATTTATGCAATTACATACAAACATCATTTAACAATTTTAACAACATGGATTTTAACAATATGGAACCTTCAGCTTCTTCCTGTGATTTGAATGCTATGATTGTGATTGTTCAGTTCCAGGGGCAATCTCGAAATTCAATTCTTCGTCCATCACGATCAGAGAAAATTTAAATGACACGAACGTATTAGACACGATTCTGACATGGGGCCTGCCGTGTTCATTGAACGGTGAACTCGAATTCTTTGACATATTGGGGTTTGGTACCAGAGACGGATATCCACCCGATTTTATTTTCGAGAAGCACGAATGCACGGATTACGGTCACCACGATTACATGTGTTCGATAAATCTGAATGAGTTGAAAGGAGAGTATAATTATAATTTCACGATATCCGCCAAAGTTAAGGATATTGATACACTCGGAGAGCCAGTTAGTCAAAACGTGCTGTATCCTGCCGGCAGTAAGTATTAGTGTGAATAATTGTCGTTAATAATTTTTCATCTATTATATTAAGCTTTGGACTTAGAATTTATATCAGAATGTCGAGATAGAGTTCTATCTATGTTATTACTAACGCCGCGTTCTTCACGTAAGATGAAGAAAAAAAAACTGGACACACCCCGAGCTATCCCTATACGTAATCGTGTCTTCAATTTTTCTGCGATCAATTTCACAATTAAGAAGATTCTTTTTCCATCGTAGTACCACCACAGCCCAAAGATGAAGAAATTAAATCTATCACCTTGGATCCATATAAGATGCACAAATCTACAACAACCGCCACTATTTTGCTGCCCTTATTCCCCAATACCAGCGGCGAAATCAAGTTCTACGCGATCATGGTGGCGAAGATGGGGTACAATAAAATACAGTCGAATATGAGATTCGATATGAAGAGGAAGTACTGGCCCAATACGACCTCCTGGGAGGAAGCGATGATGAGCGATTTCTCAATCACGTATCAAGCGACAATGCCAAAGTGGAATCCTTATCGTAGGTGATATCCCCGTAGATAGATGCAAGACGATTGTTTACAAAGTGCTGAAACCTGAAACCCGTCGCGCATGCATTATTAAATATCTGTGACTCTGTTTAGCGAACTACATTATTGATTACGGGGACTACATGAAAGCTGTCAAGTATATGATCGGCGATGACACCACCTGCAAGGAGATTTCGGCCAATAACGACAAGCGGATGTATTGCAACGGGCCTCTTAAACCGGACACGTGGTATCATGTTAGAATGAGGGCGTTTACTGACGGTGGTTACGCCGATTCCGAGACTTTCACGATAAAAACGAGTGAGTATCTCGTAAACATTGGCCGGCAAATAGTCGGCAAACATTTTACGTAACAGAAATACGTGAAACACATATTATTTCATCCGTTTCCCTTTCTTTTTCGTAATATCAGATGCAGAACTGAATGTCGCTCTCATTATCGGAGCTGTATTCGGCATTCTTTTCATGGGAATACTAGTGACGATGATGTTGCTCGTGCGAAGATGCTCGCCGTACATGTAAGTCACGATTTCATTACGTGTAACATGCGTAACGGATAAAAAAAAGGAGCTATTAACGCATATCAATGTGGATATTCTTGTATCTTGATTGAAGATACAAACTACGATGTCGATACATATATCTCGATCGGAGATAATTGGAACTCGTTCTACACCGCGTAACGCAGCGAAATAAGATAAGATAAGATTTTCGTAATCACTGTAAAAAAATTTCAAGCAGAAAGTTGCAATAATAATATTCGGCCCAACCGAAATCACGTCACGGCGAAGCCATGCGTAGGCTCGAAATCCACCGGACAGGTGCACGCGCGTTCATGAACAATGATCGATATTTATTGTATGACTCACAGGAGAGAACTATAGCTAGAGTGTGAGCAAGGTCGCGCGATGCACGCACGTCTATCGCACGCTAAGATATACAGTACACTACGGTCGGCGTTCGGTGCTCGATGAGGTTTAAACGTCGGGCTACCGCGTGCTATTGCTGAGTTCCGAAAAGTCGACGGTATATTTTTAAATTACTTCGGAAATACTTTCAAGCGTGCGCGAGACGCGTGTGAGACAATAGAAATAGCGTCGTCGCGGAGATCGACGGAGTTTCGGCTATGACTCTGACTTTTGAGAAGAAATCGAGTCCTTGGGTCCGTTTCTAGCCAGGCGCGTATGTTCATTGCGTAAGTTTTCGTTATTCCCCTACTATGAATGAGTCGCCTACGCTCCACCGGCGAAGGAAAGATATGTGTATACAAAACGCGAATGCTATTGCGCACTTCTGTTCACGATTCTCTTCGTTGCTTCGACAGCGTTCGTCAAGCGCGTCAGCGGAAAACGTTAAACACATTCAGCGATCACTTTTCTAATATCCATTTACTTTACGTACATGTATATGTATTATTACGTGTGTTACATATTATTATTTTATTACGCATGCTATTTTACCGTACATATTGTTATTTTATCGTGCACTGAGAAAAAAAATTGTTAATCCCAAGAAATATTTAGTCCGATACGTTCAACTAAATATTTTAGTTAGTTAACTAAATATTGGTTGTTTCAACAATTTATTTTGTTTCTTCAATCAAGAATTAATTAATTCAACTAATGTTTAGTTAACTAACTAAAATGTTTAGTTGAACGTATCGGACTAAATATTTCTTGGGATTGACAAATTTTTTTTCTCAGTGTGATATATACAGATTGCACAAGAATCTTAATTCTCGTTTTTTTTTTTCAATAGACAGCCTTCGTCAAACGTAACGTGGTTGTATACTCGACGAGAACGGAATAACGAGGCTCTCTGAGAGACAGCAAAAAACAGTCAATACCTTACACATAAAACTTATCATTGAATTTGTTTAAACGAGAAAACGAGAAAATTTTTTCAGCGCGTACACACACACATATACATGCATATTTCTTCACACGTATCTTATCCTTATTATTTTTTGATCGCGCATTTATTGACTAAATATACGATAAGATATTAATACGTCTTTTTGCTTTGTGAGCTTTATAGAATAATTCACGTTCGCCGTAATCTCTTCTCTTTCAGAGTGTTCCGAAGATTTCTTCACTCTGACATGCCTGGCTCGCCTGTGCCCGCGCCGTTCACCAGAAAGAAATTCATCAGCCATTGTCAGCAATTGGTGGACAATCCTGGGAAACTGAGCAATGAATTTCGACTGCTTCAGACACTCAGCGTCGACTTGCAGATGCCCACAAATACGGCCTGTCTACAAGCTAACCGAAAGAAGAATCGCTACTCCGACATTTTGCCCTGTACGAACTTGTTTTGCAATTCACTCGCGCACACTCGCGACTTGCGATTTGCAACTTATACATGATTCATGCTTTTAGATGATTTCTCAAGAGTAAAGCTGGAAGTGATAGATAACGATCCGAACACGGATTATATCAACGCATCATTCATAAGGGTAAATATTTTACATACGCATATGTGGTGTATGCATATTAACTCTCGACGATCTTCCTCTATCAATGATTGAGATGATTTTGCTCAAGCAAAAGCATTATAAATATTTCTAGGGAATATGAATAAAAATATGATTTTAAATCGCAATTGATTAAGAACAAAAACAGATCTTTTTACGTGAATGAAAAAAATGTGTATGTGTAATTCATTTTGCATCAGGGATATACAGGAGAAGATGAATACATAGCTTGTCAAGGTCCAAAGGAGGAAACTACTTACGATTTTTGGAGAATGGTCAATCAGTATAACGTTAATATTGTAGTTATGCTGACGCAGTTGGTCGAGAAGGGCAAAGTAAATTATAATCGTCGGTAATAATTTGCATAATATCAAATGCCACTTGTACATTGATATTTTTTTTTCAGGAGAAATGTCATCAATATTATCCGACAATAGGAGAATCTTTTCGATATGAGAACATGATGATACGATGTACGAGTGAATTAGATTTCAGGACGCATACCCAAAGAACGCTTATATTACAAAAGGTTTATCTTCCTTAATGTGAATAGCACGTTTTTAGAAAATTTTTATGCGAAGAATGTATTTATAAAAGATACGAATAATTGCAGGAAAATAAAAAAAGGACTATCACTCACTTGCACTTTAAAGACTGGCCCGATCACGATGTTCCAGAAGATTTCGATGCGATGATCAATTTTTGCCAAATAATGCGCCGCAATATTTCCGCTAATAAAGGTTTTATCGTCGTTCATTGCAGGTGTGAATAAATTTTCTTTGAATAGAGCTGTTTGATTGATTGATTTATACTTCTTAATAAAAGAAAATATCATTACTTTTCAGTGCAGGGATTGGCAGAACAGGAACGTTAATAGCGATAGATATTCTTCTGCAACAAATTAGAGATAATAGGAAATTAGATGTATTCGGAACTGTATATAGATTGCGACATCATAGAATAAATATGGTACAAAGAGAAGTAAGTAATTACATAATTAAATAGTATTAGAATAGACTAGCAAGAAAACGCATCTAAAATGCGTGTAATCCATATTTTAGTTAGAATAAGATATCGAATGCTGGAACTTAAAAAATTGCAAAAAAAAAACATTTTTACTAAAAAAGGATTTTACTAAATTTTACTAAAAATTGATTTCACGTTTCGTAAAGTTCACGTTACATATATATATATATATATATATATATATATATATATATA